CCAGATGCATTAAAATTGACAAAAAATTAAATAACACAACACAGATAATAATAAGAGCAACTATAAAATATAATAGAACAATTCAGTCAGTTACAGAACAGAAACCATTAGACGTCATTCACTCTCAAAATATCGATTTACAACATAATATCAAAGACAGGATAATCAAAGCCCAGCAAGATCAACTCATCAGATGTAACACAAATAGGCAAAATAGGGTATTCGATGTAGGTGAAAAAGTATTCATAAAAAACAACAAGAGGTTAGGAAACAAGCTGACCCCATTATGTTCTGAGGGACACATACGAGCAAACCTAGGGACGTCTGTACTTATTAAGGGGAGGGTGGTCCATAAGGACAACCTTAAATAAACTACAAAATTTTTTGGTTCCACACAGTTAATATAACTTCGCTTCACATTTCCTACAGGTTGACCATCATAATACTGCCAATTCTAACCGCAGCGGGGGCGCGCATCACCGACTTCTCAAATGCGAAATACATTCCTGTGCTAGACGGTAGTGTTTGACTATGGGAGCAAAGTAAATTCATACGACACTCGACTAACTTAACAGAATTCTCAGCCATCATAGACGATACCATAAAATTATCCGAACTATTTCCCCTCTCTCACATGCGAAAGCTTTTAGAAGTAGACATAGAACACGTCCAAAACTTATTGTCCACTCTAACAATACACCACAGGATAGCAAGAAGTTTAGACTTCCTAGGCACAGCACTAAAAGTAATAGCTGGAACGCCTGATGCGTCTGACTTGGAGAAAATTCGAAATTCGGAAATACAATTAATAGAATCAAACAATAGACAAATTGTAATCAACACAGAAACTCAGAAACAAATCAACCTGCTCACAGAGACAGTTAATAGAATAATCAAAGCTAAAAAGTCTGAAATGGTTGACACCCCACACTTGTATGAAACACTTCTAGCAAGAAATAGAATGCTTATCATAGAAATTCAAAACCTTATGCTTACTATTACGCTTGCCAAATCAGATATAATAAATCCAACTATTTTTGATCATAAAGACTTAAAATCTATTTTCACTGAACAGCTCACAGAGGTCTCCATAGTTAGTTTAATGACAGTATCAAAAATTAAAATATTTCAATCCGACAGCACCCTTCATATAATTATAGAATACCCTAATATAAGATTTGTTTGTAAAAAGATCATAATTTTTCCGGTGGCACATCAAAACACCGCGCTACAATTACACGATAAATAGTAGCTGAATGCAAGGACGGAGTGAAAGCTGCCACCGATTGCGTCACAACTAACCACGCAACATTTTGCAAGCTAGCCGCGCATGATACATGCTTCCGCGGATTACACTCAGGCGAATCAGCCATATGCCGAACGCAGCCCAGTCACCTGGAACCTATTACAAGGGTTGACGAAGGAATGATCATCATCAACCAGCCTGCGAGAGTTAGTATAGATGGAGGCCCCACAATATACATCAGGGGAACTAATCTCATAACGTTTGAGCGCAACGCCATGGTAAACGACACCACGTATCTCAACCACGATAAAACTGTCGATATGGTTCCTGGCATTCCGACTTCACCTTTACTGAACATTACGGGACACGATCACGTGCTAAGCCTACCCCTACTTCAGCGAATGAATGAACACAACCTGCACGCCATTAGGGAATTAAGCGACGACATGTCATCTAACGGATCTCCCAAGTTCTGGTTCGCCATTGGAGTAACTATCAGCCTTCTGTTCTGTAGCCTCATCGTAGTTGGCCTATGTTGGTATCGGAAGAACACCTCGATTAAGTTGCAGAGATTCATCCAGGAGTTGCGCATCACCGAGGACGGCAATGAACGTAAAGGGGGAATAGTTAACAACCAAGTTAACGAACAACCCTCGCGTTAAGTTCGGAGCAACCCACGCAGCTAGAACATCAACGTATCGGATTTCGGTTGCACTGCGAACGCAACGTCTGCAAAATATGCTATTGCGGGCATTAGCAGTTTTCGTTATATGTCGCAATCGCAGACATTGTAACGCTAACATAAATATGCCGGCATAGCTCCGCGCGGCCGACAGCCCATGGCGTGATCTTTATATAATATGTATTTAGGTTTGGATTCATATTTCCCTTTTATGTACTTAGCTTTAGTCTTTTATTCATTTCATTGTCACGATCAGTTCTGTTCCAATAACGTAAGCTAACGCACGTTGAATAAACATTGCTTCGGCAATTGGCCGACTGACTTATTAATTAATATATCGCTGAGCCACAAGGCCAGTGATCTGATACTTAACCGTATCTCAACCTAATCTACATTATCAACTAACAACCTGGATCTACCCGACGGCATCCCCTTACGAGGACTACTGGAGCGGATAGACTTAAATAACTTATATGCTTGGATCTTTTCTTTCGTGTAAAGTGCTGTTAACTTATTACCTAACCTTTTGTTATTCTTAACGAACACCACTTCGCCTACCTCAAATATTCCGTTTTGCCTGTCTGCGTTAAATCTTTGAAGTACAGCTTGCAATGTTTTGTCTGTCAAATGTACTGTCAAAATTCGATTGATGTCATCATCAAGCGTTTTTTGGTTCGTGACCGAGTGGATTGATCTATTATATTTTAAAGTTGTTCTCATAGTTAGATCCACCGTAACGCTAGCTTTCCTATCAATTCTTACGCTTCTGGCTATGTCTGCCAGAGTGCTATGGAATCTTTCCACCTGACCGTTTGAAACGCTTTGTAGTGGTGGTGCGTTAACAATATCTATGTTGTAGCTATTTGTCAGCAGCGATACTATTGTTTCAGATTAAATTCTGCTTTTGTTCTATTGTAATGATTTTCACTTGCTCATTTTTGTCATCTGACACGTAGTCTTGCAATGCCACAATTTGGTGGCTGGAAGTGTGGGAAATCTCAATAATATTGAATAATAAGCAGTTTTAATGTTTCAAATAAGTAATTTTTATCAATAAAACTGATGATATGGCGAATTTTTTTGCCGAAGATTATAATTTTTCTCTGTATCGGGAAACGTGCCTCTATTAAGACAATTTGGTTTTCAAAACAGTTTAATGGCTTTTCAGTTGTCTCTACCGTGTAAGTTAGTGAGATCTTATTATGTATCGTAGCAGCGTCTGATAAGAGCTCAACTTGGAAATGTTCTTACTCACGGAGTCATATTTTCCTCTGGGGATGTTGGTCAATGGTCTTGCTACTGCTGCAAAATCTTTAACAAAGGCTCCGTAGTAGCTGGCTAAGCCAGGAAATGATCGCAAGTTGAACAATTTTTTGTCTCACGAAATTCCTGGATAGCTTTCCCTTTTTCTGGGTAAGTTTTGGCCACGTGTTTGTTACTATGAAGCACAAAAATTCGACGCTTTCTCCGAAAAATTTGGTTTTTTTTCGCACAAGCATTCCAACACTTTGTGTATGTGATGAAATTGATCGGCTTTATTATGTTGTCGAAGTACACAGATCAACTCTTTCCTATATGTGCCCTAAATGTTTCCAAGGAGGATGATAACTCTTTCGGCTGTGCTGGAATATCTACCGTTGTTAGTAATCTTTTCATACCAGACGTAAATGCGTGAAGCGAATCTGACCTTACTTCTTCTTCAATGTAGCTTGCTCAGCGCCTTTGCAACTGCGTTGTAATACTCCATAAGGCTTAAGTCGTCTTGTCTGACCAATTCAAGTCGTTGCCTCTACAGTCGTAGTGACGTAGTGACTAGATAGATAGCGTCAAAATTGGGCACTATACTTTGCGACACTAAAACTATCGAGAGGGATGTCGCAATTTATTTCTGCTTGGGCTGAAATTCTTTGAAAACTTTCTACTTGCGAAGTTTCAATACACAAGTTATCTATTGTAGTTGCCATGGCGTTTAGTTGAGACTAAAACCTTACTTCTTGCTGGGCTAAAGCTTGGCTAACAGCGTTTTGGTTGTGTAGTTGGCTAACGTGTGAAACTGGGTTCTAAATATGGCTAGTGCAAAGCTCTAGGCTCTTACCTGACTATTATCACCTGTTTCCCATCTTATTTCGCTATCAGCTTATAACACTATCGCACTCCACTTTTATGTGTCTCGCTACATCAAACCGGTTCATGTGCTTGCTAGATTTTTCTTCCCACTGAAAATGGCAAATCAGGGTATAATGGTTTTGTGCAAATGTATGTAACAGGCAAGAGGAGGCGTGGCACACCCCATAGAGTATATATTCTTGATCAGGACGACAAGTCGAGTCGATTGAGCCCTTTCCGTCTGTCTATTCAAAGAATCGAAATTGCGATTGAATTGTGTTTGAATTATCTTCTGCTTCTTAAGCCAAATCTGCAACTCTTCTTGCAAGCGGTGCAGTTGCTGCGTTGGTATAGGCGGTGTTCTTAAGCGATTAATCCCTGGGTTTGAGCCTTGGCGGTGCTGGTAGAGTTGGTGCGCGTAGTGTAAAAATTGTGGGTTCGAATCTTGGTGTCGTAATGTCGGTTTTTACTTGTTTTTTTTTTTAACACTCGATACAAACTACGGAAAATATTAAAAAATGCTGATAAGACCTGGATTAGGGTATCTCCTAGTCGGACACCCCTACTAGAGCTTTTTTATTTGTTTTGATAACATTTTGTGGTGATAAAGAAACATACGGCACTGAAGTGGCACAATTTCGTTGAGAGCTCTCAGGAAATATTACCAAATGAGTACTGCTGAGTAACACAGCAATCCGATAACTTAAATGTCATGACCGGCGCGGTTTCTCGGAAGAAGTGGTAAGGTCCTTGAATCATTCAGCACACCGTCGGGAGCGCCATCTAAGACTTTACCTAGAGCGATAAGATATATGCTATACCTTGCTTACAAAAAAACATAGCTTAAGTGACGTACTCTTTAAAATAATTCTATTAAATAAATTTTTACCATGCATGTAGGAACGTAGGAGATTTTTAATTTTCGTAGGATTATAGTCTGATCAGACTTTATAAATCTTTACTTACCTGATATTTGTATAATTTTCCATTTTGCAATACTAATTTAAGTGACCGATCTTTATCCAAAGATGAATATTTTAATGGTAAATGATTTTGATTTTTGCTGAAAATTGTATAAGCAACAAAAAATGTAGTATTATAATTATAATTTCCATTACAAAATGTTTTGAAAAACACTCACTACACATTATTTATTTTTACAGTCGAATCCTGATAATTCGAATTGACAAGGAAAGATTTTAATTTAACGAGATTTTATATAACGGATTTTATTTAAAGTTGATATGTAAATATTTAGTTGTAGCATAAATAAATATTTGTATATTTATTTCTACGTTGTACGTATATGGCATTACATATTTGAAAATAAAATTTAAATCGAAACATAAAATAAAAGTTTGAGCGAACGTACGTTTGATATTTTACACTCAGTGAAAAAAATCGAAAATTCCGGCAAATTCCTGTCGATCTACAATCGTCAGAACTAACTGTCTGCAAAACATATCAGAAATTTAATTGACAATAAATTCCGTTTAGTATTACGAATAGCAAGAAGTTTATGCCTGGAAAAAATACTACGGATTAACGATGCGTCCATAATGTGTGGAAGCATTCGCGATTCGAAAGTACTTTTTTCAAAGTCCCATCTGTTAATTTTTTTTCAAATAAATAGAAATAACTTAAGCCTTTAATATTCTCATTTGTCTGGCAGACCTATAGAAACTTATTTTAAGTCTTCTAAGTTCTTATGGTCTAGACTCTGTATAAATAGAAAATGGAACATGAGTGTATAGTGGTTTTCTTAAGATGTATCCAACAGACGAAGGAGTCGTGGTCGACCTCACAAAATATTCTTGTTCAAAGACGCATTACGCAAAGCATGTCAAAAATCAACATTTGTATGGAAATCAAACAAACGTGACTAAAAATTAGAGATCCACAATTTGAAAGGTTTTTAAAATTAAGTGAAAGTAGAGGAATAAATATATATATGTGTGTTCATAAATATATGTATTCAAAGTCGAAATCCAAGAAGATTATTACACAAATATTTAGAAAGCTTCTATGTTTTGGAAAGCTTCTATATTTTTTAAGAATTTTAAACTTTAGCAAAATAGAACTTGCAAGGGTTACAGTCGATTTAACAGGAATTTCTTGAGAGCTCTTAAGAATTGGATCCTTAAAAGGTATGACTGAGATTGACTGCACTCAAGAACAATGTTAAACGAGTACGAAAGCTCTAGTCAGGGTACTACGAGATACCTTGATCCCAGTCCCAATATTTTCTATTATTTCTATCGAGTATTACAAGAAAAAATAATAACAACCGCGACATTCCGACACCGAGATTCGACCAATCGCGCATAAACTCTACCAATACACCGCCATTTCATAATTAATCAAGTAAGAATGCTCTAGGCGACTTATAGATATCTGCATTTTTTAATATTTTCCGTAGTTTGTATCGAGTATTCAAAAAAAAAAAAAAAACAAATAAAAATCGACATTACCACACCAAGATTCGAACCAACAATTTTTTTTAATTTAATTTTTTAAAAAATAAATAAAACAACAAAAAACTACAAATCGCCGCGAGTTTCGAACCCACATATTTACAGCTTACGACTGCCGCCTCTATCAGCACCGCTTGCAAGAAGAGTTGAAAATTAGGAGTAAAGTAGCAGCATTCAATCGCAATTTCGATTCTTCATATAAACAAGAATACGCGCATTTGAATTCATGTTTTAACTAATGTTTTACTTAATGGATTTTAATGAAATTTTCAGCATATAACAGACAGAGCTCAATCGACTCGGCTTGTCGTCCTGATCAAGAATATATATACTTTATGGGGTCTTCCGTGCCTCTTTCTGCCTGTTACACACATTTGCACATAACCATTATATCCTGATTTCCCATTTTCAATGAGATCAGGTTATAAAAACAACGAATCAAATAAAAATCTATTTACAAATATAAATTAAGAAAATTAATAAAGAAAATATATCGAGCTAATATTAAAATTTTCAATTATAAGAAGCAACAAAGAAAAATAGTAATAGGAATATCAAAAGAAACAAAATCAAATATAAGCTTAGTGTACCGAACTTGCAGCTGCGCAGTGTAACCTGAGTCGAAAAAATAATAAACAGTAAAACACAAACCAAAATTACATAGTACCCGCAGTACTTAATACAGTTGAATTACCAACTTCATCACCAACCAACGCCAATAACGACGAATATAACCAGAGACAGCAGCAACGGCAAGCAGACAGACAGATGCATCAAACAGTAGAAATGGTGCAACAAATTCCATCGAAAACTATATAGACCGAATAATCAATGATAGATTGGCAACAATACAAGTAAGGCTATCGATTTTGCTGAGGCAGCCGCCTATAGTATAGACCCGACTATAGAGGCAACAATACTGACTTAGACCGCGTGCCAGACATAGTAAAAGGAATGAGAGAATTTTTAGGAGATCCTGCTGAGTTTAGCTCATGGAAAAAGGGCGTAGATACGATTCTACAGGCATGCTCTAGTATAAAAGTGTCACCAAAATATTTTGGTATTCTACAAACATTCCATAGTAAAATAACTTATCATACAGACCAAGTACTAGACTCTTACAATATGCCCCCGAACTGGGAGGCAATGGCTCGATGCCTTACTCTACATTTTGCGGACAAACGCGATTTAATTATACTGGAGTACCAACTTACCCCTATGATACAAAACGTACAACAGACAGTTGAGGAATTTTACCAGAATATCTAGAAGCACCTATCTTTAATCCTCAATGAGGTTAATTGTGTGAATTTAGACAGACAAACTGAGGTAGTTATGACAAAATCCTGTAGGGATAGGGCATTAGATGCGTTCATAAGAACCCTACGTTGTGATTTACCACGCCTTCTCGGAATCAAGAAACCAACTGACTTACCGCAAGCATTGCATTTGTGTCTAAAATTAGAAAACCAAACCTATAGGACAACCTACGCAAACAATAGGCAGCAAAATGTGAAATTCAGAAACATAGACCAGACTCCATCAAAGAACCCAACTTATATACTCTCAACTTATTTGCCATCTCAGAATCCACCTCCAGTTCCGACACGTAGACTAGTGTCACTACCCAGATCATTCTATAGCTATAACCAGGTACAGCCCGGTCAATTCCAAAGACCATCAAACCAATTTGATCACCAGCAACAATATTGGCCATAACCCACCCAGACCCAACCAATATGCAAACAAAAATGGTCAACTATATGAACAGACCTCAGTTTGAGATCGGTAAAAGGTCGACATTCTCCATAAACCAAGACGGGAAAAGAAAAAGAATGTCAGGAACAAAACGAACAAGGCTATGCCGAGGCATACGCCACCATGACGGATTATGAAAGATACGGGCAGGCAATGATAGAAGTTAACAACTAGGAAGAATGCGTCATGAGCTTGGCAGGGTACATTGAGCAGCGACCCAGAAGCCACAAAATACTCCAATACAGATTTTAATTTTTTAGAAAGAGCGACTCCTCGCTACCCTATATCGACTGTCGAGTGGGGGGTCACAAAATTTTCAAAATTCTTATCGATACTGGTTATAGCACAAACTATATACAACCGAAGCATGTTACAAATCCAAGACCAAACGAAACACCTTTTAAGCAATAACTGTAGGAGGTAGCATCGAAATAACACACTACAAACTTGCAAATTTATTCAACTAACCAGAATGTAACGTAATATTTTTTCTTTTACCAACTCTAAAGTCATTTGATGCCATTTTTGGCAACGATAGCCTTAAAGATTTAGAAGCATTAATCGACGTTTATGGGCTACGTCGATTACTGCTTCTAAAGGAGAAACAAGTAAGAAAACTCGGGGTGCCCGACTAGGAGATACCCTGATCCCAGTTCTATCTGCGTTTTTTAAGATTTTCCGTAATTTGTATAGAGTATTAAAAAAAATACAAATAAAAACTGACATTACCACACCAAGATCCGAACCCCCACTTTTTACGCAACGCGCATCATAATTAAACAAGTGAGAAAGCTCTAGTCGGGGTGCCCGACTAGGAGATACCCTGATCCCAAACCTATTTGCCTTTATTAATATTTTCCGTAGTTTGTATCGAGTATTCAAAAAAAAAAGAAAACAAATAAAAAACGACATTACGAGACGAGAATTCGAATTGTTTGAGCAACGTGCACCAACTCTACCAACACCGCAACTTCATAATTAAAAAAAAAAAAAACAAAAAATAAAACAATAAAAAATATTTCATCTCCACTGGTCTCGAACCCTGCAGCTGCATACGAGCGTCGCCTCTACCAATGCAGCCACTGTATTGCTTACACAAGCTAAGTTAAGTAGCAGCTAACAATTCAGCACAATTCAATTGCAATTTAGATTCTTCGAACATAAAAGACTACACGCATTTGAATGTATGTGTGGGTGTGTATGTGTGTGGCCAAACGTTTTGTTTAATAACTTGAAATTTTCTCACTGAAATTTTCAGCATATGCTCTAGATATTCTATTGGCTTTGTAGAGATACAAACGCCGTCACATAATGGCTCTAGTTCCATCTAAACTTAAATTTTAAGAATTTGGGAAAATTTGGAGCCGGTATCCAAAATGCAACAAAAATCAAAATTGCATAAAATATAAATTTTATTACAATTTATTAACGGCATTTCACTCATGTTTTTATTCGATAACAATTAAATGCGAATAGTTATCGAATATTTGAAACAAACTTTATATGCGCGTGTGCTATACACGGACGTACAAAAAATTTCAAGTCAAGAGGGGAAGATGGACGAATGTCCTAAAACGATTCACGGAAAAAAATAATTAATATGAACCAAGACGCAATAGAAGCTTTAAACAAAATCAAGAATTCACTAGTGTCCGATGAAGTTATTCTTCAAATCCCTGATTTCAAAAAGGAATCTCAACTAACATCAGATGCCTCCGATTTCGCCATAGGCGCAGTACTATCCCAAGGTGACAGACCAGTTTCCTTTCTCTCTAGAACGCTTTTCAAAGCAGAAGAAAATTACGCCACTAACCAGAAAGAGATGTTATCT